ACCCTTTTCCTTCCTCCCCACACAGAGAAACCCCAACCCCTTCCTCCCCCACACAGAGAAACCCCTTCCTTCCTCCCCCACACAGAGAAACCCCTTCCTCCCCCTCCCCCACACAGAGAAACCCTTTTCCTTCCTCCCCACACAGAGAAACCCCTTCCTCCCGCTCCCCCACACAGAGAAACCCCTTCCTTCCTCCTCCACACAGAGAAACCCTTTCTTCCCCCTCCCCCACACAGAGAAACCCCTTCCTTCCTCCCCAACACAGAGAAACCCCTTCCTTCCTCCCCAACACAGAGAAACCCCTTCCTTCCTCCCCCCCACAGAGAAACCCACCGAGATTATGCGCTCTTATGTAAATACTTTTGGGGGTATGCCGTTTTTGAGTGAAAGATGCGTTATGCCGGGAAAAAGCACATTACTGGTAAACAGAGCCTGGATGAAGAGAGCGGGGGAAGGAGAGGAGGTGAGCGAGACGGGGACGGAGAGGAAGAAAGAGGCAGGGAGAGACCGACAGACAGACAGACGTACAAATAGAGGCAGAGAGTACGAGTACGAGAGAGAGGAAACGAGGGCAAGAAGAAAGAGAGGCAACGTTTACTACTTGCTCGCGTATCTCTGTCTGTTTGAAATGTACCAACAGTAATGTGAAAAGTAATTCAATTGTATTGTGTCTGCAGTGACACAGAGTAGCTAAAGTGCTAAACCATAGGCTAAACCTAGATTCAAAAAGAATTTTAGCATTTTAGAATTCGAATCCGGGTTCGTGTGGAAGCTGAAAGCATTTTAATAAACTTTAATTGGACGTAGCACTAAATTTGAGTGAATTTCAGGGAATAATTATCCTTGGCAGATTGGTTGATTTGTGTTGGCATTGATTGAGCCATTACTCTTCTTATGGGACTTGTACGATACGCTTAGCTAGTCATTTGAAACGCAAAATTTCTATTTTTAAAATGGTCTCCTACGTGTAAAATATTCTGAAGGCCAAGTTTTAAAACGAAAAAGTTTGATTCTTCGCAGTCGTTTGGTCCTGTTCCTTTAGTGTAACCGCCATAAATTATAGGAAAGTATATAAAAAAAAGACCGCGCAAGCTTTCTCGTATTTATCACACGTTATAAAAAGTCAGGGGTTTGCGCGCGTAGACTGACACTAACCTCCTCGGCGTGTGGGGCGAGAGACGGGCGGAGTACTGCTCGCGCGCCCGTCTATCGTGGGACGCGTGTGTACGGAGCGGCAGGGTGTCAGTTCAGTGAACCTACGCTGGGAGCTAAGACAAGGAATCACGAGGCATCGATGATTCTATCTTCTTCGAGACGCCTCTCCGACATTTTAACATGTGATGCACGTGCCAAGCCGTCTCCGTTATTGCTACGCGTTATCACACAGCTACCCGCACACACGCTCGACTCAAATCGCGTTGCAAATCAACAATTTTAGAAAACGTTCTAAAAAGCGGGACACCGAAATCGTCCGCATCTCGAAACCTATACGTCGCCTCTCTGCTGTTCTTCATGCATGTGCAGTACCTGTCGTAATTCTGAGCGAGACATCGGCTCAATGTTGATCTGTGTCCACAGTTTGTCCAGCAGAGAGCAGTTGTTGGTCTTCCCCTTGTACTGTCCACTGCCACCACTGGACAGCCTAGAACACGATGAAAAATTCACAATATTGCCATAATGATCTCAACCAATGAGACAGAAGACTAACGGACGGACGAAATAGAGGATGTTTAAAATGTCAGACACCACTACCATGAAGGAAATTACGCCAGGCATACATACTACATAATTTATACGTACTACATACATACACATTACATATATTATACTATATTATACTACATATATTATACGTACTACATACACACATATATAGTACATATATTATACTATATTAATACTACATATATTACATATATTATACTATATCATACGTACTACATATATACATATATAGTACATATATACTACATAATTAAAATACACTACATTATACTACATACATCTACTACTAACTACGCGCGAGCTCTCACCTCAGCGTAGCAAACAGCTGGAATCCGGGCGCCGCCTTTAGACTGTCACCACGTCCCGGCAGAGTCAGCTCTCCGCTCTCCATCAGGGGCATGAGCACGGAGACGACGTCCATCGGTGCGTAGTCTATATCCTCCAGCAGCAGCAGGTAACCGTTGGTTACGGCCTGAGTGAGGCTGCCGGGCTGCCAGACGAACTCTCCCGGCACGTCCGTGCATCGGTACGTCCCGATCAATGCCTGCGGACGCACACACACACGTACGGGACTATATCGTGACAGACTCTCAGATACTACAGCTCTCGCAAACTCGTGAGAGAACGATTTCTTCCTAACACAAGACGTTTCCTCGCATTGGTTCCTATGACATACATACACAAGACTACATATTGTGACAGACTCTCAAACATTCCAGCTCTCGCAAACTCGTAACGGAATGATTTTCTTCCTGATAGGACAGTAGGAGAAATTTCCTCGCATTGGTTCATATCGTCAGCTATCCTATCCAATTCATGACAATTGTTATGATAAACGTTAGAAAATCCATTACAGAATAATCCCCTCGACTTTTATTTCGGGACAATCATCACGGGAGACATTTTGCGGTGACGCGACATTCTCACGTTGAAGGGCACCGTCACTCGTTCGCGTACCTTCGAATCCATCTGGTCACCCAACTGGACCTTGAGCAGCTCTGGACACTCGCTTCTTCCGAGCATCTGAGCCAGGTTCTCGACCAGCGCCGTCTTGCCGCACCCGACCGGCCCCTGCAGCAACGCGGGCGTCCCTGAAGCGACGGCGAGCGCGAGGGCGTGCATGTTGTCCGTCGTCGACTGTACGGGAATCAGCTCCTCGAAATTCTGCAGCAGACAGTGAATAATTATCATATCGCTATCATAGCATATCGTATCATTTCGTATCGTATCAGTATCATATAGTATCGTATCATATCATATCAGATATCGTATCGTATCATATCAGATATCGTATCATAGCGTATCGTATCATATCATATCAGATATCGTATCATAGCGTACATATCTGACATATCAGATATCGTATTGCAGTATTGTATCGATCGTATTCTATCGATCGTATCGTATCACTAGCGAATAGGGATCTTGAGTTTCGATTAAATGGGGGAAATCAATTTGATTTCGTTAGTTAATTCAGCGATCCACACAGCACGACGGCGCTCATATTACGCGCAACATTTTAAACCTACTAGGTAAAAATCTTCATGATCGCGCGCCTCGGGGCTGGGGGGATCACTCTCTATTTATACACCTCGTCTACATCAAACGAACAAAGGCTAAACTAACTCTCTCAATTTCTTGATACATTCATTAAACTCGTAATCGGAGCAACTGCTAGCAAACTGCACACAAGTAAAGCAGCTAATGTTGACTAAACCCCACATAATTATATAAAAACCGAATTCTTTTGCACAGAACCAAATTCACGCGTCACACAGGAACTCAAGGTCTCCAGTGGCGCCACCTAAGAAGCCACTAGAAGGAAGACAATCTTAGACGCCTTCCTACGTACGTCACTCGACTAGAAAAGCTGGCCGCTGGAATGCTCACTTGTTTCGCATCGCCTTTCTTCGACGGCAGCAGCACGCCGCACACGGACACGACCGACTCACAGAGGTCGCCACCGAGGATTCCCTTCAGCGTGTGAGTGGAGCCGTCCGTCTCCTGCGAGCTTACCAGGGGGTGCTGGCACAGACGCACGGCCCGCCTGTGACACATCGCCGATGTGTCATCACAACTGGGGAGAAGGAGAAACGTGAAGGTCATCCGACCGCGAAACGGACAAAATTGAAAGTAGAGACAATTACGCTGTACGTAGTACAGTCGGTACGTAATACACGGCAAGTAAAACATATATGGGAGCTGGAAAGGCTAATGAGTATGCTGTCGCAAATTTGGAGCGAACAAACGTGCAAGTTCTATTACAAGCGATAGTTACAACTTTAAAGTAGTTACAGCTCAATGACTCGAGTAAAATACAAATAGAAGCAATGTAATAATATTTATTGATTTATATTGAGTTCATATTGAGTCATTGATTTTAATCACACAAACAGAGAAAATTGTATAGAGAAAGAAAGTTTTATTTAACCAATGATTCATGTATCCTAATGGTGACCATCAGAAATAGTTGTGCGACGTGACAAAATGTGCCATCACAAACAAATGTACGTATTAGACATATATATGTTAATGGTGGTCTTCGTAGATATTTGGTTTGTTGGATTTGATGGTTTAATATCTGGCTTCTTATAGTATTTGTTTTTAAATATAATCAAGGATTGGGATGCAAATACCTTATGCTGAAGTTCAGAATTGTTTCATCGTCGAAGTATTTCCTTTCAAAGTTCCGTCGCTGCACATTACTCATGCCCATTACCATGGCGACGACACTGACTCCCAACCTGTACCAAACAGCAAGGGTAAATTAACATACATGTGTAACGTGTGTGCATGCCTCATGTTATTAATGAACATTACTTCAATATACACACAAACAAACATCGTATTGCCCAACACTGTGGACCTTTATTCTACAGCACATGTATAGCAGGTGTCAACATGACGGACCATTTTATCTTTGTGTCGGCGTGGTCAAGGTACTGCAAGAATGGACTCCAATCCCACAGTTCTCTGAACTCTGCACAGCGCGTACTCAGAAAGCGAAATGCAGTCTCGACAATCTCCAAATCAGATACGCCGTTTACTTTTGTCTGCAATAGATAATTACATTTACGTTTGGTTACGTCATCCGTCACCAATGATGACATACCATGCCTCGTATCCTATCATAGCTTATCACATCATAACATTGTCACGTCTCACACGCGACATAAAATCATTAACAATTGAAACTGACCAATAAAGTAGTGAGCATCATATTATATACTGAAAGATATTATTGTGTTATCCCTCATAGGGGCCTAGATGGCACATAAGGCAGTGACAAAAGATCTCCAACGTCGTCGGTCCGCTGCTACTGGCCTCAGCCAATATTATTGTATATCTAGAGCCAGGATATAGAAAGATATTATTACAATCACCTTTTTTGCCTTTTTCCGTGTAGGTTCTGCCACCCCATTGTGATCACCACTGACTAGTCGCTGGAAGAATGGTGGGCGCCCTCTTAGGTATTGTAGCGCTTGCCTGGAAATAAAAGAAGTTCTGTTATATGCAACGGAACAAAAACGAAAAACTGTAAAACTGACACTCAAGGGAATTAATTGACAAAAGTGCTCTTTACAGACAGGTATGTCAACGTCAGGTGTGACTCAACATAGACGTCTGCTAACACAGGTTTGACACTACTGATAAAATAATATATGACATATATACAGAAAGCGACTGCTGCATTGTGATAAAAACATGCTCCAGTCTAATCAAATTAAATTCGATTGAACTAGTCATCTGGTTATGTAGGAATTGCCACCTGAGATGTTGCCACTCATATTGCACAGCTATGGACAGGGCAACGGACAGCCGCTCATGTTGCGGCAGGGAGAAACCGGCGCCCTCTGTGCTCCGGATCGCTCGCTGAAGCAGCTCCGGCACGAGCGCAACAAAATGCGTCAGGATGCTTTCTGTGCAGCCGGAGTTGAGCAAGAGTCTGGCCAACGTAGCGAGAATGGTTTGACGGTCCGAGGGCGTCCATATCTGCAAAAGCATGACAAAAATTACACTGGTCAAGTCATTTAATTGGTCGACAATTTTTCTCTATCCTGCGTGTATGGTTAAAAACTATTAATAGCGTGGAAATAACAATTATAGTATAGATTAAATAGGCGAGATAATTAATCGATTAATAGATTAAATATATATTGGCCTCAAGTTGAACTAGCCAGTGCAGTGCCGGTGGCAGTGACAGTGGCAGGGTTCAATGATGTATTAGATAATCCCAATGCATTTTCGCAATGTGCGACATGTGCAAATATGCAAATGTGGACAGCTGTTCTATCCTTGGGCATTGGGCAGCGAACAGTGGCGCTCATAGGATCTATGTCCCCCAGGGTACTGCCGGAACGTACCATGGGTACGGTCCGGTATACTGGAACGTACCCTGGTAACTATCTGATATGGTTAAAGTTAGGTGTAGGGTTAAGGTTAGGGTTAGGGATAGAGTTCTAGGGAGCAGGCATAGCCGTAGGCGACTCCCCAGACTCGTTAGTGGAGTAGGCGAGGTACGGTCCGGCATATTAGATAGTACCAGTAGAACATATAAATCACATTGATTTATATGCTCTGGTACCAGAGTACGTTCCGGCTGTACCCTGTCCCTGGGAGACATAGACCATATCAGCGGCAGTGACATGCATGATGCAGCGCCAGTTGCGATATAAACACTCAGTTACACTGTGCCATAAATAAATTTACCTGTTTAGCGAGATAACCTTGGAATTTTTCGGCGCAAGTTCTATTGGCCTTACACAGATCTTCAATATTAACAGATATATTTAGCCCTAAGTTCTTCATTATTCCTTATAATGTACTGATTAA